TAACAAGCGAATGACCTCATGCTTTAACAGGATCATCCGCTGGTACATCAAAGAAATGGGGCTCAAGCTGAATCCATTCATCATGTATGACTCCAACACTTTTTACTTGGTTAATGAACGGAACAGGACGAGGACATACGCAGTGACAGCAAACCCCGACATCCTGAATTATAAACTGCCAGAGAGGGAGAGAGGGAAATCAGCTGACGAACTGTTGTGGCAGGCTTTGCAGAAGGTATGTAAAGATGTAGGAGGAATTCATGGCACTTTTTATACAGAGTGATACCATAGCAGAGCTGTCTATTAAAAATACAACAGACAGCAGTTGTCCTATAAAATATTAATTTAATGCATTTATGCACTTCGTGGACCCTACGCCTTAAATGCAAGTGTTGACTAATTCATGCAGACATATACTCCACATGGTTATTCCACTGTTACTGAAAATTAAAGTTAACAATTTCTTGTCACTTCACACTATCAAGTGAAGGCAAAAAAAGCTCAAAAATTTTTTTTTAAGTTACTTAAAGGTTAAAATGCACAAGAAGCCAAAGAAAATGTACCATATTGACACTTTTCAAGGACCAATTAAATTCAAATCTTAATATGTGAGCTGTTGAGTTCTTTAAGATTCAAATGGGCAATGCTTTGTCTTCATGTCTGTAGGTATTAAATATTTGACAAAATTATAGGTGTTGTAGGCTCCTAATGGTGTACCAGTGTTTTACCAAGACTCAGCTGGAACAGACTCCATTCCTGTAACGACTCTATTCGATTATGTGTTATTAATATGGACTGAATGCAATGCAGACATCTGTTGTCAACTAGTGGTGTGCGGATTCTTCCGATCCCAGTAATTTATGTTCTAGAATCGATTCTCATATTAAAATATCGATATTTTAGTACTTTGGGGTAAATTTGTAGTTTTTCATTAACAGGAACACAGTGGAAAGAAACTATATCATTCGGATCGTCTAAATTGGAAGGAACTACTTCCTCTTACGCCTTTCATAGTCATATGCGAAATACGGCTGTATAAATGTGTTGCAGCCCCTGGCCAGTGTTGCCAACTCCTCAATAAGGAAAATCGCTATTGGATATGCTAAAAGTCTCTAGAAGTGCTAAACGACGTCATCACCTAATTTGCATAATTGGTCATGCTAATATCATTGTAACCCACGTTGTAAGAGAGAAAAAAAGAAGAGACATAAAGTGTGTAAAAAAACGTCCTAAATGCATTTAGAATTTATTTAGAATTACAAATTAATTTTTTTTTAGTGATTATTGTTTTTTTGGGGGTTTTTTTATGTCACAATTCCAACCTTATTCCTTTATCTGCGCTTGGACCGGCAAAAGTGACCCGAAATAGGCACTCTGGTGGAGTTACTTTGTGTGTGTGTGTGTGTTTAAGTAGTTTTAAACCTTGTGATCCACAAAACAACATAACAGTAAAAGAAGAACTGATTGCGTTACAGTCAGTGCGGGAGCAGAGGCTTCACTCATACGCGATTCATTTGCAGTTTGGACGCATAGAGTTGAACATCTCCTGCCCTGATAGCAGCTGGGGGAGGACTATCTTCTGCCTGTTAGCGCTTTGGCACGGGCGAGGTGCCCACAGCAGCACCCGCTGCTTGTTGAGAGGAGCGATACGCGCTTTCACGTCAAAAAGTTGTCATAACTAAGTCTCCAATAACACCAGAAAAAGTCACCAGATTTGTCACTAGTCGTTTTTTTTAGAATAAAAGTTGCTAAGGGGCTCTGAAAACTCGCTAAATATAGTGACAAAGTCACTAAGTTGGCAACACTGCACCTGGCGTGCGCACTCATAACAATGGCTGAGCGTAAACGAAGTCATGTGTGGACATATTTTACCTCCACAAACAGCCAAGACGCAGTTTGCGATACATGTGGCAAGACAGTGAGGTGTTGTGGCAACATCACTAACCTCGTCAAACACCTCAGAGTAAATCATATCACAGAATATGATGAGCTTATGTTGAGGCGAACTGAAGAGGAGGAGAGGGACAGGTGCTGCTAGGGCGAGACAGACGTCTCTCGCAGAG